CACACACACACACACACACACACACACACACACGACGACGATGATGACCAAGAAGAAGAAGAAGAAGAAGAAACGGACTACTTACCTTGCGGGCTGTGGGAAGGCGATGGCGGTCTGCGGAAGGGCACGGCGGCAGGGCACGATGGCATGGAACAGTGGGGCCAATGAGCGAGTCGAGGCGCAGTTCGCCCGCTCGATTTCGACACAGCATTCGGGATCTGCCCGCATGTGAAATCGCGCGGGGAAACACTTTCAAATCGGGCGATTTCTGGCTGTTGGGCGCGCAGGGGTTCTGCGAGGCAGCTTCGACCCCTCAGAGCCCGAAATCGAAAAAGAAAAAAATTTGTGGGTCGGCGCATTTCAGGCCCGGGGGCCCGACCGGGCGTTCCGACCGGCCGGTCGCCTGGTCGTCAAACCGGGCGTGGCATCGGGACCCGGGCGCCCGGGATTTCGCCCTAGATGTGCAGGGGTTGTACAGTTTGTTTGTTTTCAATTTTTAAGAATCATGGCCTTTCACATATATCGACCACAGGCGCGAACCCACGACTTTGGGAGGCCTATGATCAGTATGATTGTCTAGTTAACACAGAAAATCATATTTGAAACACAACCCGCGTTGGCGGCGCAAGTTAATGCAAAACAAAGAAAAGGCGCGTACAGGGGTTGTACAGTCGGTTTGTTTGTTTGTTTTCAAATTGTAAGAGCCATGGGCTTTCGCATATATCAGCCACAGGCAAGACCCCACGACTTTTGGAGGGGTATGATCAGTATGGTTCTCCTGTTAACCCAGAAAGTCATACATAAAGCACAGGCCGCGTCGACGAAGATTTCACAACGGCCTGTGGAGTGTAATGGAAGTCTCCAAGTTGACATACGTTTTATTTTAACGATGGATTTGAGCTTATCTATCCTTTTGAAAAAACCTAACTCTAAATTGTCTATACCCTGCTGTGTTTCCCATATTTGTTTCCATCTCTGCCGCGAGCCTCTGTAACGCGCAAACAGCCGCTGATGGCATTCATCAACAGCGGCCGCCCATTGGGCCCGGCCCCCGAAGAATGCGGTATATAGTTTATATTCCCAATGGGACACCAGCCTTAAAGGTAGTGGCGGTTTAACAAGGGTGAGGGCCTGGAGGAATTGTAGTAGAACTGGGCGGCCCCAGGTAATTCAGATTTGCTTTTATTTCGTTTGTCAATTCATCTGGTTACACCCGGTTTCGGACTCAGGTCTGTATTTCAACAGTTCATGGTTGTACCAACTGAGCTACAGGGCTCTGACTCCTGAGCTCTGAAATATGTCAGATTCAATGGCTGAGTTTTTGTCTTCCCGGACCTGCGGTCTTCGTTTGTGCATGTGCAGGCAATTTATTGTGACAGCGAAGAAGATTAAGATTGTGAAAACATCCCAGTATTTTGGAAGAGGACCAGGTGATGATTCGGCGACAATTTGCTCTGATGCCCTCAACATTACCGTACACGCTGACCTACCTACCATCTCCATTGAATAGAACGCCTGGTCGTAATTTCTTTATTTTTCCCCTCCCCTGCCCCTCTCCCTTTCTCCTTCCCTTTTTTTTCCTTTTTTTTTTTCGGAAGTCCAGGTTGTTGTGGAGGTTGGAAGCCAGAAGCCAGACTATGACAGTCACCTTCTGTAATCGGCGATTAGGTTATCCAGATGGTCTACGGAGGGCCCCATTCCTTACGAGACTCCCTCCCGCCGCCGTCTCATCATTTCTGCCCCTATCCTCACCCCCAAGTTGTTGTTGTATTGTTCATTATATATACCACTGTGATTGTGACCCAGAGGTTCTGGCCTATTGTCAGTAGATGTAGGGCCACCATCTGCCCTCCTACCTATAGACATCCCTCTAGACCTCCCCCCTCACTAGTCAGGCAACTCAAAGCTGCTATGTCCCCCTTCCTACTCTTCAATTAGGCTGAGGGCTATGGCGGACTACTAAGGGCCTAGCCCCGCTGTGTAAAAGGCAACTCAAAGCTGCTATGTCCGCTGTGCCCGACTCTGCCTTGAAGCCTTCTTGCGGCGGCGCAACCCGAACTGGGGCCTTCCAGATGCAGCGCCTAGCAAGGTGGTGAAAATGGCATCCACCATAGCCATGGAAGTACCTCGGCACTCTCCTCCCTAGTCACCTTCGTCCTTCTCCTCCTACCTGGGGTCTTCCACCATAGCCAGGGAGGTCACCCAGGCGCTCCTCTTCCCAGGCAGCGCTAATGGAGTGGTACTCTTCTCCCAGCAGCGCTCTGAAGCCCAGTGGCCGCTCAAGCAGCATGACGCCCAAGCTTGCACACTACAAATGAGGAGGAGCTTTTCGCTCTTTCTGGAGACAGCGCCCTAACTGCCTCTTGGGTGGTGACTTCCTAGGCCGCGCGGCCTCCAAGCAACCAGTACCTCCTCCCTTTCGGAGGGAAACATCATGGTAGGTTCTGACATCGTCTGCACAGGCCCTAGACTCAGTCTGCTTGGTCTGGTACCGGCCTACCTAGCTAGAGGCCTACCGCTACCGGGCCTCTAAAAATGCGAACTTTTTGTCTTCTTCTGCTCGACCTCCAGTCCCCGACATATCTACTGCTATTTGAGTGGTACCGGCCTACCTGCTACTTGAGCGTTTTTCCCTGTTGCTCTACGTGTCTCGGGCCTACTCCCCGCTACTTTGCTGTTTTCCCCGCTGCAACCCTCCAAGTCACGGCGACAGGTAAGTACCGACCCTCATTGGGCCTTTCAAGCAAACAAGTGCTCTGGCGGGCCACACACACAGTGTCACACACTCAGACCGACTAGCAGTCAGGCAGGCACACGAACCAGCAAGCACGCACACACACACAGACTTAGAAAACTCAGCAGAACGTGGGAATCTCAGTGAGGCATTTATTCCAGCGGCAAAACTCGGAAATCGGCAGTGTTCTCAGCCTGTGTTCTGGCAGGTCATTACAGAAAAAAAAACATTACGTAAACAGGCTGCTCGGGTTCTTTGAACTTCTTTCTAATATTATGTTGTTGATGTTGCGTTTTCTCTCTTGTGCTGTGTCTTGGTTTTGCAGGCTACTCTTAGAAGGGTACTTTGGGAGAGGAGCTCCTTGTCAGAGTAGTTGTGCTTTGTTACTTACTGCCGCTGAGCTCCACGTGTTGCACCCTTGTCTGCTCCTCCTCCTGTAGTATGTGTTTGGTCATGAGCGAGCATGATTTGTTGCAATTGCTCATCGGTAATGAGGATGATAAAAAGGAAACAATGAGGTATCAGGTTACTCAGGAGATTCTCACACTTGGCATTTTGTTTCTCAGTTATTTCTGGACGGAATTGTGGGCAGATGCATACAGGTCCGGCTGTACATGTGGTCAGTCACATTTACGATAGTGCTAGTGTGAGTACGCCTGCAGTCTTGTCTGCATCTGGAGCTGAGACTAACTGGATGACAGGTGTGATAGTGCTTGTTTCCTGCTGGACGCATCGCTGAATGACTGGGAAGTGAGGATTAGCGTAGTCTGGGAGGAACAGCGGGCGCACACATCTCTGGACTCAGAAGGTCAGGATGGAATGTATCTCTCTCATTTCCTTGAGTAGATACTTGAGAACTCCATCTGTCCCATTTTTGCAGTGGGAAAGCCATCGTTTCATCAAGGTAACACACACACACACACACACACACACACACACACACACACACACACACACACACACACACACACACACACACACACAGAGAGAGAGAGAGAGAG